GAATACCTTCTAAACTTGGCATACTAAGTATCGAATAAGAATAAAATTAGTTACATCACTGGCAGAAAATAAATTATTCACTTAGATCCACTTTTTAACATCTGTGTTTTGGCGAAAAATATTATCTAATTTTTCTTTTACCTAATAAATCTGATCTTTTATTTAAAATCAATCGTTCTATCTTTGAATGAAATATCGTTTTTATTAATAATTTTCTTAAATTTATTTACTTATAATAAATAAAAATTTGTGTAGATGTCCTAACTTAATGAATGAAATTGAAATATGTTGGGCAATAAAAAAAAGCCTAGAGTCGTGGGTCTCTTATATTGGAATAGGAATCAGTCACATCACAAACACGACAAGGAAAATACCACCTCAGTACGGGTATGTGTTTTATATATTTCCGATTTTTTTAGGTGTTTTTTTCCAATTTTTCATTTAAATCTGGATTGTTTCATAATTTAAAAATGATTTACTATTTTAAAAACTATTAAAATTAATATTTATTTGCTAAAGGTCGTTAATTAGTATTTCAATTGAGAAAAAATCAATTTAAGACAATTAATTTTCAATCTTTCATATCCATATGACATATGTTAATTTTACTTGACTTTTCACAAGTTTTCTAATTATTTTTAGAAATCAAAGTATGGTTTCTCATATCAACCGACTCTTTTCCATGCCCTTGTAGTCATTTTTCTTGAATTTTTTAGCTGGGGACTAGTCATGTCGCCTGTCATCACGGTAAGTAGCTAATTTAGCTATTTGTCTTAATGAATGTGGCTTATAGCTATTTTCATAGCTTAATGAATGAGGTTTATAGCTATCTTTTATAATTAATTAATTAATTAAAGCTATTAATTTTTTATTGACTACTGTTTTTATGTTATATAAAGTCACAACAACATTAAAGATTGTATTCATTAAAATTCATATATTTGAATATTTTTGATAAATAATTAAAAATATTTTCTTGATTAAATTACATAATTAAGATTAAAGTTTAATAATTTTTTTAAAATCTATTTTGAAAGGTTTTGAATGAGATGTTCCCTGAACATGCTTTCCTAATGAATGGTTTGATTCAAGGGGTGAAGGTGAGTATAATTATAATTAAATATATTATAATATTAAATTGCAATAATTTTTTAAATTTTCTTCTTAGTTTTTTTAATAATTCATATATAACTTCATTCTTTTTTGTCATTTTTTCTTCCGTTCACTCCTATCTTTCACTATTTATTACATTCAAACTAGGGAATGTTGTCTTTTCTGAGCGCCCCGCTGATTGGAGCGTTATCAGACGTCTGGGGGAGGCAGCCATTTTTATTTCTCACCGTCACATTCACATGTGCACCCATTCCACTAATGAAATTTAGTCCCTGGTTAGTTAGGAGCATATGTATGTGTGTCTGTGTGTGTCTTTGTCTGTGTGTTTGTTTGTTAGTTTGTCTGTGTGTATTCGTGTGTTTGTGTGAGTGTGTTTGTTTGTGTGTGTGTGTGTGTGTGTGTGTGTGTGTAGTGTGAAGAGTAAATTTAAAGTTGAAAATTTTAAAACTATGATTCTTTGCGTCTTATAAGGTGGTACTTTGCCATGCTATCGTTGTCAGGAGCATTCTCTGTAACGTTCAGCATCGTGTTTGCCTATGTGGCCGACATAACAGCTGAAGAAGATCGAAGTTCTGCTTATGGATTGGTTTGTTGTTGTTGTTGCTGCTGTTGCTTTTGTGTTGTTGTTGCTACTGCTATATTGTTGTGGTTGTTGTTGCTGCTGTGGTTGTTGTTGTACATATATGAAGAAAGATTAAGAGCTGTTACCAGATTTTGTTCAGTGTATAAATATTAATTGTTATATAATTATAATAATTTATGCTAATTTATTACCCAGGTCTCAGCCACATTTGCAGCGAGCTTGGTCACAAGCCCAGCTATTGGGGCATACCTCGGCCGACTTTATAGCGATAACTTAGTTATAGCTCTAGCTACAGCTGTAGCCGTTCTTGACGTCATTTTTATTTTAATCTTTGTTCCTGAATCTTTGCCGGAAAAGTGTCGGCCATCTTCTTGGGGGTCCAGTATTGCCTGGGAGAAGGCCGATCCGTTTGGGGTTTTTTTTTATTCTTTGTAGTGTTTGATGTCATTGTTGTTTTAGCTGTTGTTGTCGTTGTTGTTTTTGCTATTTATCTGTATAATTATTGAATATTAATATTAGAAATTATTAAATAAAAAATAAAATTATTAAATATTAATATTTTCCAGGCCCTGAGACGTATAGGGCAAGACTTCTTGATCCTGATGCTCTGTGTGACAGTATTCTTCTCATATCTACCAGAGGCTGGGGAATATTCCAGCTTCTTCGTCTATCTCCGTCTAGTACGTTCATAATTATAATAATAATAATTATTATTATTATTATATTTATAATAATTATTGTTATTACTAATGCAAATGATGATGATCGTGAGAGGATAAGTTAATATGAATGATGGTTAAATACGGCTGATGACGAGCTGAGGCCAATATCAATTTTTATTCAACAAACAAATAAATAATGATAATAATAAACAATAATGATAATAATATTATGCAATAATTATTACGCAATATTAAAAATAATTATAAATTAATGTCAAGGTCATGAACTTTAACCCAGAAGATGTGGCTACATTTATGGCGGTTGTGGGCATTTTGTCGGTCATCGCACAGGTCATGCAGCGTTTATTATTGTTATTATTATTATTTATTATTATTATTATTATTACTATTATTATTTATTATTATTAATAGTTGTAGTTGTAGTTGTTGTAGTATTCATTATATCATCTAGTCTTATTTGGCCGTGGTATGTATGGTATAATGTTTTTCACTGTTGAACCATCCATACAGCTATTAATAATAATAACAATCATAATATAATAATATAACAATAATATATTTATAATAAGTTTTTATTATTATTATTATTTATTATTATTATTACTACCTATGTGTTATGATATTTGCAGTTTAGCATGCATTTGTAGTTATTGATTGGCCTCTCTAGGCAATTAAATCTCTTACATTGTTGTCGCTACTGTTGTAATGACGAAGAGTGAATGAATGAATGAGTGAATGAATGAATGAGTGAATGAATGAGTGAATGAATGAATGAGTGAATGAATGAATGAATGAATGAATAAGTGAATGTATGAATGAAGGAAGGAAAATTCAACGAATGAAATGAGTAAATATAACTGAATTGAGGAATGAAAAATTGAACGAACAATTTGTTCACATTTTTTCCCGCCTAAATTCAGACGTTCATACTGACGCTGATGATGCAGTACTTGGGAGTTAAGAACTCAATTATTGTGGGTCTGCTGTTGGAGATGGTCCAACTATTTATGCTGGGATTTGGCTCTCAAACTTGGTAAGTTAAGTTGCTTTCGTTCGTTTGATTGTATGTTTTTGTATGTTTGTTTGTGGGTGTGTAAGTTTGTATGTTAGTTTGTATGTATGTTTGTGGGTGTATTAGTTTGTATATTTGTTTGTATGTTTGTTCGTCAGGATAATCTGGTCGGCTGGCATGTTGGGTGCTATGAGTTCCATTACCTACCCTTCAATCAGTGCCTTCGTCTCTGCACATGCAAGCGACGATCAGCAAGGTTTGTCTGCCTTGTCATTTTGTCTTTTTTTTCGTAAAGCGCTATAAAAATGAAAGTTATTGTTTTTGTTGTTGTTTATTGATTCATTTATTTATTTGTTTATTTATTTGTTGTTGTATCTAGCGTCAGTTAATTTCCATCCATCAATGATTTTTTTAAATCTAAAAATTAAAATAAGCTATAAATAAATAAAATTTCCGCCCTTGCAGGTGTGGCCCAAGGGGTCATAACGGGCATAAGGGGTTTATGTAATGGTCTGGGGCCAGCCCTATTTGGTTTCATCTTCTACTTGTTCCACGTTGACTTGAACGAATCTTCTAGAAACAATCATTTCATCACTCCATTCGCGCCTATCCATCGCCCGAGATTTGCCAACAACACTGCTGCTAACCGCGCCGGCGGGAAACTTGAAAATTTTGGCGGAAAATTTGGAAATTTTGGCGGAATTCAACAGACTTTGAATGGTAGTAGGAGGTTTACTGGTCTGTATACTATTGAGTCAGCTAATAAGGAGGGGTTTTTGCATCAGTTGCATGAGGCGAGTTGTGTGTATGTTTGTGTTTGTGTGTGTGCGAGTTTGTAGTTGTTATTTTGTTTCTAATTTGGCTTCTATGTATCATTCTGTCTTAATATTGCTACCTTGTTACTAAGAAATTTTTTTGCAGACGATTATGCCAGGTCCGCCATTTGCATTTGGCGCCATTCTCGTCATCCTGGCACTCCTGGTGGCCATGTTTATTCCGGATAATCCCCATTCCGTCGTTAAGTCGCCAACGGCTCGTAACAGATGCAGTACTGGATCTTTTGATAAGGATGCTTGTATGTATGTTTGTGTGTGTGTGTTTGTTGTTGTTGTTGTGTGTGTGTACGTGTACGTGTACGTGTGCTTGGATGATATCATGTGTGTGTGTGTGTGTATGTGTGTGCGTGTTCAGGTGATATCAATGATAAGTGATACAAATGATGATACTAACGATGATGGTTGACGTAGTTTACAAATTTTCTCGGCAGATTCTGCGAAGAGAACTGACCAGCACACCCCACTCATCATCGCATCCTCCGTTGAGAGTGCATGATCACCATCATCATCATCACTACCTTATCATCATCATCATTATCATCACTACCTTAATCATCATCATCATCATTACCTTCATCATCATCGTCGTCGTTACCTTAATCTTCTTCGTCTTATTATTTTTATTATTATATCCATCATCATCATCATCATCATCGACTGTATCATCATCATCATCATCATCGACTGTATCATCATCATCATCATTATCCGAATCACTATCATCATCTTCATCATCATCATCGTCGTCGTTTGAAATTATATCCCATACATAACGACAACTTTATTAGTAATAATTTTTTCATCATATTATTATGTTCAAATGGAATGAGTGCATCATATGTAATGATATATATATATATATATATATATGTATATATATATATATATATATATATAGCTATAAATTTCTATATATGTATAATATATATAGGTATATATATTATATTATATATAGGTATATTATATTATAATATATACCTTTTTATTCTGTGTTTACCAGTTTAGTGGTGGTATTAACAACAGTTTTATTATTATTATCGTTATTATTATTACTATAGTTATTATTATAGTTATTATTATTATTATTATTATAGTTATTATTATTATTATTATAGTTATTATTATAGTTATTATTATAGTTATTATTATAGTTATTATTGTTATTGTTGTTGCAATCGTTGTATCATCATTCTCATCACATCAGCGTCGAAGGAAGTTACATTTAGTTACGTGTTGTTACATTAGTAACCTTACATTCATTTGATTTCAGCTTGTTAAGGCTCGGGTAATGGAATTTTTAAACTATTTATAAAATGTTTTGTCTGTGTGTGTGTGTGTGTGTGTGTGTGTGTGTGTGTGTGTGTGTGTGTGTGTGTGTATGTGTATACACGTGTGTGCGCGCGTATGTATTTATCCGTTTGCAATGTACGTGTTTTTTCAATCTGTGTGTGTATTTACATTGCATGTATGTATGTAGGTAGGTATGTTTTGTGTATGTGTGCATATGTGTGGTGTGTGTGTGTTAGTGTGGTGTGTGTGTGCGTATGTATGTGTGTGTGTGTGTGTGTGTGGAATGACTTTATATTCTTCCTTTGAGTTCTGTTGGTCGTTGTTATAATAATAATGATGTAACATACCAGGCAGGCATTTGAATTGTTTTTTTTTCTGTTTTTTTTCAAATTTTTCAAGAAAAAAATAATTCTTTTGCGTCCATATCTGGTTTTGTTTTTGAATGAATAAAATAAAATTAGCGAATTGTTGAAAAAAACAAACATACATACATCATACAAAACATAAATTACACATACAAACGTCATGCATACATAAAAACGAAAGTGTGCATGCATGTAATACAATTTTATACATACAATTGTACGTACGTACGTAAATAACTATACGCAATTTCTACGCTTAAGCTTACAGCTCTTTGAAACGCATAGCAACACGTATGTACATACGTACGTATGCATGTTTGTATGTATGTATGCATGTATGTATAACGAGATGTATGTATGTATGGTAAATGTATTAATGTATGTTTGTTTGTATGTATACTGATGTATGTACGTATGTTTGTATGTATGCATGCATGTTTGTATGTATATATTCAATATATATTCTATTATATAATTCAATATATACAAAACATTGTTGCACAACTGCAACACGATTGGTCAGCCGCTGGATGACGTCACACGGTCAAGAATAGAAGTGTATTTATTGGCTTCTGTCTGTTTGATGTCGCGGTTGTTGGTGTTTTTTGTTGCTGTTGTTGTTGATTTGCTGTTGTTGTTGATGTTGCTGTTGATGTTGTTGTTGATGTTGTTGTTGATGTTGTTGTTTTTTTTCATTGTTCTCTTCTGTTATCGTTGTTTTTTTTGTCAAACTATCATGGGAGACATGTTATTGAAATTTGAAGGTTCTGAGAAAGAGAGGAATGAAGAGCTAATAAGAGAGAAAAAGCGAGAGGGAAGAAAAGAGGAAGAGAAAGAAAGGGAGAGAGAGAAAAAGAGGGAGAGAGAGAGAGAGAGAGAGTAAAGACAAGAAAGGAAAAGATGAAAACACAGAAAAAGGTTGAAAAATCTATCGTAAGATCGTAAAAGATGAGGAAGAACAAAAAGAAATAAAGTAGAAAAACGGAAGAAGCAGAAATTTCAAAAATGAAAGAGAGAAAAAAAGAGAGAGAGAAAGAAAAAGAGAGAGAAAGAGAGATGCATACAATATTACTATTCAGAGAATGATTTCTGGATTAGATAGTTCACTGTTCATCTTCATCTTTTGGGATAATTTGAAAATTTTTTAAAAGTAAAATATTTTCAACAGAATATTTACATCACGTTGGAAAATTTTCCTGTACGCGTGTGTGTATGTGCGCGTGCGTGTGTGTGTACGCACGTGTGTACGTGTATGTACATTTGTTTGTAGTTAGGTACATTAAAAGAAACATTCAAAGAAACATACATACAAACATATGGAAAGACTAATGTTTTGACCACTGATAACATAACCATTGATGCTCATCCCACTCTAATGTGCATATCATTAGGAGGAAAAATTGTGTATATGTGTGCATGTTTGTGTGTGTATATGTGTGTGTTTGTGTGTGTGTATATATATACATGTGTGTGTGTGTTATTTATATGCGAGTATTATATTATAAAGTGAATACATTTCCTTGGTCATTATTCATTGAACAATGGATGTCTCATTATATTCTAAATGAATAATTCCGATTGACGAATGTCTCTCATTTCATTCTTTCATTCACTCACTCATTCATTCATTCGTTCATTCATCCGTTCATGCATTCGTTCATTTTTTCTTCATTTATTCATTCAGTTCAATCTATCTGTCCATCATTCCGCTCATATTGGATAATTTTCTACGTAGATTTTTGTCCCCCTTCTCTTCCAGCCAAAATTAAATTTCTTGCAAACCAACTGTTGCGTCCGTGTATAAATGTGATTATGTATGCATAATCTTAATTTCATATGTACTGTACATCTCTCATGTATGTATCTATTTATGTATCTATGCATGTATCATGGCATGTCTGTATTGAACAAAGATAGAAAAATGCTAGAGAGAGAAAGAGAGAGAGAGAAAGAAAAAGAGAAAGAGAGAGAGAGACAGAGAGAGAAAGAATATTATAATGATAGAATGGCTTGATAGCACGAACGGCTTCTCAGAAATAATTGAATGCTAATACTTGGTGCTGTTGTATGTGTGTGTGTGTATATATATATATATATATGTATATATATATATATATATATATATATATATATATATGTATGTATATATGTGTGTGTATATGTATGTATGCATGTGTGTGTATGTGTGTATGTATGTGTGGTTGTAAATAATTATCATTAACGTTAATGGCTCAATGGCTCTCAATG